GATTATTTATTTTCGGAGATCTAATTAAATTTTATGATTCTAACAAACAATATCTAAGTGTGAAGATTTAATTACCAAAAAAATATACAGATATATATATATATATATATATATATATATATATATATAAAGAATAAAATATTTTCATATTGAAAATAATATATTCATTTATTATTTTATACTCCTTATATACACCATTTAAATAAATAACAAAAAACAAAAATTATTTATAGTAAATGAAATATTATTTATACTTTTGGAAATATAATAAATATTTTTATATTTTGTATTTTACTAAGCATGTGAAAAAATTAATAAGTAATTACGTAATTTATGTTTTACAATGGCAAATTAAATTTCAAAATTACTCATTTAAATATCAATAAATTTAAAATTTAATAATAAGTAATATATATTCATAAGGTAATCATAGTAAAATATGTTTACATGAAGAATTTCTTTCATAATCTTAATAATATATTCCATCACATAAAATTTCTATAAGACTCCCAAATTAATTTTCTTTTATAATAAATGCTTACGAAAGTCAATTCAACAAATAAATTAATCCTAACGATATTTTTGAAATTTTTTAAAAAGGAAATCAACTTAAATTCGAAGACAAGTTAATCTCTATAAATAATGTTATTCATCTACCCAATTCATCTTTTCCTTATTTGAAAAAACTGAATCATTCCATATCTAAATTCTCTCTTCCTCATTTTTTATTAACATGGTTCATCTATATCATAAAGTTTATCATTTGCATTTTTGTTATTTTAGAATTTGCACGTGAATGATTTATTATTCTTATTTTTTTGTTTATATTGGCATTTCCAATCATTTTCATTGGATAATGCTTTTACAAATATTATGCATTTATGTCGATGATATTTTTAGTAATACACGACTGGTTTTGTAAACTTACAATCATATAGTCAAACGGGTTATGATTAATATTTTTTTAAAACATTTTTTAAGAGTTGGTCTGTTAAAACATACATACAATATAAGCGTGTATATTTTACAAGTAGAATCATTTAAAGTTTTCATATACTCAATTTCTTCTTTTATTATAACTTTTAATTATATATTAGATAAATATTTTCCTCCGCGCTGTAGCGCGGGTCCGTTTCTAGTAATAACATAAGAAAATACAATAAAATATTACAATAAAAAAACAAATACAGAAAATAATTAAATCTGATTATTTTTAATCAAATTTGGGTACCTACGGATTTACCCACTAGTGCTAAAACCCGTTCGGGTTTACCCATTAAAACTAAAACTCGTTAGGGTTTTTTGAATCTGGGTGGGTTTTTTCTGGACAGGCTTTTTTCGGGTACGGACCGGACTAGGTTTTTTACTCACGGCAACATCCCTATTCATGTTCCTGTGGTTCTGGTCCATTCCAATAGTGAAAAATGAAAAATATTAAAGTTTTACAACTTACAATTAATGTTTATAAACCTTTAAACAACGGCGAAGAAAAATATAACATGAAAGCATAATTCACAAGTCAAAGAGTTTGGTCTATCCACTTAACCAAATCATCCAAGTTAAAAGGAGTTAGAATAAGTGATGACGAATTTGATTTTTTTTTACGGATTAGTTACTTATTTTGATGTTCTTTACGAATCAATTACTTGAGTCGCATGTATGTTGTTGTTAGGTTTTAGGATTACACATGGGATAAAATATATCTGTAGAATAAAAAGAAATTATATACATCTTTTTTTTTGTCGACAAAAATTATATACATCTAATTAACGAGACTTTTAAAGTTTTAATTAGACAAGTTGAGAAATTTTAAAAAGACCTGATCAACCTTTACTGATTGAGCTGGTCGTTTGTTAAACTTTATACAGACCGATTCAAAACAATTATTTCTCCTATGAATTCTACTTTCTATCTAATAAAGAGACGAGACGATTAAGGTCTTTTAAATTATATAGGAGCAAGGCAATATCCCCAATTCCACTGCAAAAAAAAAAGTGAAGTCACAAATAAAAACATAAGACAAAAAGACACAAAACTAAAGACACAAAACTTTTGAAAAAAAAGAAGACACAAAACTAAACCCATGCATGCGAGTCAAGTTGTCAAAGCCGACACATTCTGTCTTCCTTGTTATGACAAATATTTTGGATACCAAAAGCTAAACAGATCGAATCTTTAAATTAAAGTAAACCAAATAAAATCCAAAAAGAAGGATTAACTTTCTAATCACCTGTCTAAATAATCCTACCTAATCAGTATTTTAAAACACCAAAAAGTTTTTCATCATTCTATTTTCTTGTCGAAAAAATTATATAACTTAGTTTAACCATCAAAACAATTGTATTAAAAACAAAAACAAAACAATACTCGAATATTTTTTATAAAAGTATTTTTTTTTTTAGATTCATAGATTTTTACATTACTTATTTGACTCATAGATTTTTAATTTTTAACATTGTCTTTTCTAATTTATAATAAATTATATATATATATATATATATATTTTATTTTAATTTGTAAATAGCAAAATTGATTTCATCATAGACACGTCAATTACCTTTTATGGATGTTCAAATTTTTTATTTTATTTTTTTGTGAAAGATGTTCAAAGATTGGAATTTATTTATAGCAGATTTAGTTCCCAAATACAAAAGCGAATTCCAGGTTACCTTGTAAACTCTTATTTATTACTTGTACAATGTGAGATTTTAATTGATACAAAAATTGAAGAAATTAGCAAATAAAATGAGTCCATGGTATATATCGACTATTAATTGACAATTTCTATGAAATGACTTATCTTAGTTCAAGATTTTCAAATCTATAGTCAATTAATTGCTTCCTTAATTGTTACTGTACATTTTATTAGGATTTTTTTCCAAATATTTAACTTTCTGATTTTAAAAAGAAAAGAAAAATATGTTGAATAAAAAGTTACTCCAGTAAAAGTCTAAAATCTAATTAAAGTTAGTCTACACATTTTTAGTTTCCTTTTATTCCCACTTCAACGTATTATTAATGTTTCCATTATTACATATAACTTTCTAAAATCGTTTCATATAATTTCCATAATCATACATATGAAGAAGATTCTCTCCTCTATATATATTAATAATCTCATTTGACTATAAATTACAAAAAAAAAAAAAGATGAATCATCGTCTCGCCGGGATAATTAGTCCACTTGGCCACATTACCACTGATCCAATTCGATCCCCCTCCGTTAAGCCACCACATCCGGTTTACTACAAACCCGTAATTAACCATTTGAAATCTCTAACCGGTATCTACGTTTCACCTGGGCTCACCAATCAAGAGATCTCAGCCGTAGAATCTTCTCTCGGTTTCTCTTTCCCTCTTGATCTCCGTTCGATTCTTCAAACCGGTCTTCCGGTTGGTACTGATTTCCCCAATTGGCGAACCGGATCGAACCGGAATCGTCTCCTTCTCCCTCTTCTCCGTCTCTCCAAAATCGTCGTCGACAACGGATTCTGGGTCAATTCTTGGGGGATCCGACCCGGAAACGACGCGGAGGCTTTATCGCTAGTGAAGAAACTGGTTGAGATCGCTCCGGTTCTCGTCCCCGTCTACGGCGATTTCTACGTCCCTTCGACGACACCGAATTTGGCCGGAAACCCAGTTTTTCAAATCGACGGCGACGGAGTCCGAGTTCTGAGTTGCGACGTCGCTGGATTTCTCAAAGGACTTGGACGATCGGAACCGCCGAAGGAGGATAGACGAAGAAGACGACGGAGGAGAGTGGAGTTTTGGAGTGACGCGGCGGAGAAAGGGAGATCAGTGGAGGTGACGGCGCGTAATTACACGCGAGGGTGGTGGGGCGTGTTGGGCTGCGAGGGGTTAAGCGCGCGTTTGGACGACGCGTTTTGGAAGCTGAGGGAAGGAGGATGGACGGAGTACGAGGTTCGTGATATGATGATGATGAACGGCGTAGATCGCGACACGTGTGCCCATTGTCAAACGCAATCGCGGGATGTGGTCTACGCGTTTGACGGTGATGTAACGGTAGAAAGACAAGGCGACACGTGTACGGAGGATGGGAAACACGGAGAAGTGACGACGTTGAAGCATCTGCTGCTTTATGACCGTTAGATCAGCTAAAATAAAATGATTGGTTGGGCGGTATTATAGCTATGTAAAAATGATGAACATATCTTTTTTTTTTGTGACTAGTGAAATTTAATTATCATTATGATTCTATTCTAACAAAAAAAATCTTTATTTCTATAAGAGATGGTGAAGTTTCAAGAATTTGTTTAACGAAAAAAAAAAAAAAATGTGTTGGGGTACAAAAAAGAGAGAGCTAGAAACATATGCTCTGGGAATTACAAACCCATACTATATGTTAAGGAAAAGATTACAACAAATTACATGACACATAGTTCAATTCGTAAGCTCTCTACTAAACAACATCAAAATGAGAGAAATTTTGATCAACCAGAGGAGACTTTACTCACTCAGCTGCAACACTCTCATTGTTCCCTCCATTGCCAGAATCAGGCAAAGTATCAAGATCGGTTTGAACATCTTTTACTTCTTGAGGAAGATTAGTAGTATCCGAAGAAGAATCAGAATGTTCTCGAGTTACCTCTGTCTCACCATTCTTGTTGCTTTCTTCTTTCTCTGAAGTTTCCTCTGATTGCTTTTGTTCAGTATCTGAATTGCTACTTTCTTTGTTAGATTCACTTGTGTCTTCTTCAGTCTTCTTCTCGTTTTCCTCGACCTGTTCCTTTTTCTCACTCTCGGTATTTTCATTTTCCTGTGAATTGTTGGATGATGACTCTTCTTTCTCTTTTGTCTCGGTTTCTTTGTCTTTAGTTTCCTCTTGGGGCAAAGACTCTTCTTTCTCCTTTGTCTCACTTTCTTTGTCTTTAGTTTCCTCTTGTGATGACACTTCATTCTCTTTTGTCTCGTTTTCTTTGTCTTTAGTTTCCTCTTGGGACGATGACTCTTCGTTCTCCTTTGTCTCGGTTTCCTTTTCTTCGGTTTTCTCTTTGGACGGAGACTCTTCTTTCACTTTTGCCTCAGTTTCTTTGTCTTTAGTTTCATCTTGCGACGAAGACTCTTCTTTCTCAATCTTCTCGTTATCTTTGTCTTTATTTTCCTCTTGAGACGAAGACTCTTTGTTCTCCTTTACCTCGGTTTCTTTTTCTTCGGTTTTCTCTTGGGAAGGAGACTCTTCTTTCTCTTTTGTCTCGGTTTCTTTGTCTTTAGTTTCCCCTTGCGAGGAAGACTCTTCTTTCTCCTTTGTCTCAGTTTCTTTGTCTTTGATTTCCTCTTGAGACGAGGATTCATCCTTCTCCTTTGTCTCACTTTCCTTGTCTTTACTTTCGTCTTGAGATGACACTTCAGAAGATTCTACCTTTTCTTTCTCATCTTCTTCTTTCTTAGTTTCTTGAGAACCTCCGTCTCCAGACCCTGTGGATTTCCCAGCCTCAGAAGACTCACCATTAGAATCATTAAACTCCTTCTCCAACAACTCATTCTTCTCCATAGATTCACCCTCAGATTTTATTCCCTCCGATGAATCTGATTCCTTACCTGAAGATGAATCAGTCTTCTTCTCATCACTACTGCTTTCCCCATTATCGGTTGTGTTTGGCAAAACACTCTTGATAACAGAATCATCAACTTCTTCGGTCTTTAAACCCGACTTATCATCCACTTTCTCACTATTCTCAGCTTCATTAGTCTTCTCCTCGGACTCATGGACTACCTCACTAGAAGCATCATCTCCCTTGTAATTGTTCTCTCTTGCTTCTTCATTATTCGTCTTCTCATCAGTCACCTCCTCTGTACCACTCTTCTCTTTACTCTCCTCACTCTCCTCCGTACCACCACCATTTTCTTTCTTCTCCTCGACCTCATTCTCTTCATTACCACTCTTCTCTTTACTCTCCTCGCTCTCTTCCCCATTGTCTTTCTTCTCTTCAACCTCAGTCTCTTCGGTACCACTCTTCTCTTTACTCTCCTCGCTCTCCTCTGTAGTACCTCCATTGTCTTTCTTCTCCTCAGCCTCACTCTCCTCTGTACCACTCTTCTCATTCTCCTCTGTACCTCCATTATCTTTCTTCTCCTCAACCTCATTTTCTTCTGTACCTCCATTGTCTTTCTTCTCTTCAACCTCACTTTCTTCTGTACCTCCATCGTCTTTCTTCTCCTCAACCTCACTTTCTTCTGTACCACTCCTCTCATTCTCTTCTGTACTACCGCCATTATCTCTCTTCTCCTCAATCTCACTATCTTCCGTACCACCTCCATTATCTCTCTTCTCTTCAACCTCACTCTCATCTACACCACCATCATCTTTCTTCTCCCCAATCTCACTATTCGACTCCTCATTTCCTTCACTTTCCTTGTCCTTAATCTCTTCAACTTCCTCTACAACCTCATTCTCCTTACCATCCCCATTAAAACTGTCAACATTCCTACTAGCTTGTTCCTCAGCTTCGTCTTCCTGGACAAGAGGGTTAAGATCTTTCCTACCAAGCTTCACAAGCTTATCATCCCCAACAGAAATCTTGGAACTCTCCTCAAACTGAGCTTTCTTCTCATGAGAATGCTTAACTTGATAAAGCAACCATATCCCAACACTAAGTAACAGAGTCAATTGAATACAATGCTTCACCTTGAAACCCTTTGATCTCTGTCCTCTCCTCGGTGAAGATCTAAACATACTTGCTTCAACCTATTCCAAGAAATCAAAACCCAAATCTCAGATCTCAGAAAAAAAACTAAATCAAATTCGATCAGATCAAGGAAAGACAAAAAAAAAAAACAGAACATGAACCTATCGTTACATTAAATGCATAATGATTAGAACAGATCTAAGCAAATAATACCATAAAAATCCAAACTTTGAAACGTTAAACACTTAAAAATGAACAATTACAAACAAAATGTATAACCTTTGATAAAGAGAGCAGCTTTGAGAATGTGAATCTGATGAATTCTGGGAAAAAAAACAAGAAAGATGAACAATTTTTGCAAAAGGAAAGATTTGATTTTTGGGATCTGGAGAGAGAGAGAGAGAGTAGTAGTAGAGTTCCCGTTAAACTGCCATTAAAATCGTGCGTCCCTTCAATTGGAATCAAAGCAAATTGCAGAGAAAAAAAATTAGTTTTTTCTTCTTTTCGAAAAACTTATTTAATTAGAGAAAGAGAGAGCTTTCATTCACACTTGGAAGATGCCATGTGAATCTGCTTTAACGTCGTCGTTTTTGTGCTTAACGAGACACCGACAATTTATAAAACGACGTCGTATCTCACGTGGAAGATGATATATACGGTTGGTTGTTGTGGGCTTATCAAAATTATAATCTCAGCTATACTCTATAGATAGACCCATCAATCGTTTTTGTTCAATAAATGTATAGAGAATTTTGCACAAATAAACAACAAAAAAAACTTTAATTTATTTACTACCCATACTAACCATCAAAACCTTATATTCCCTATACTTTTTACAAAATATATACTATCCTACCCTTATCATCACCACTCTTTTATCACCAACACCTCTTACTCCCTTACCACCACTCTATCACCACCTCCGGCCACCATCTCCGGCGACCACCTCCGGCGACATCCTCCGGCCACCACCTCCGGCGACAACCTCCGGCGACCAACTCCGGTCACCACCTCCGGCGATCACCTCCAGCCACCACCTCCACCTCCGGCCACCTCTGACCACCTCCTCCGGTCACCACCTCCGCCTCCGGTCACCTCCGACCACCTCCTCGGGCCACCACCGCCGACCACCACCTCTACTACCACTAAATACTAAAATAGTAAATTTACTTACCCTTTATCTTATTTTCCTATTTTTTTTGAATATAATACTATATTCTTAATTAAAGTGTTGCTTTTGGTTATTGAGCTAATTGACCCATAAATATACTAATCTCTCAATTGTTTTTATAACATTCTTTAATATTTTCATTTCTAATAAAAAGATACGAATACAAATAATTTATTGTATGACTATGATACGTAACCTATAACAACCTTTGAAAGTTTTAAAATCTTTTGCACAAACAATTATATTTTTTACTATTGTTATTATTTGTATGTGTAAGATATAAACTATTACTTTTCCCGTATTATAATATTTGTAGTTTTAGACTTTTAAATTTTGCTTGAAAATAGCTATCGTTTTGTATTTTGGATGTGAATATTTGGTAAATTTTGGAGTTTTATTTCTACTAATTTTATGTATTGAACAATAGGAAAAAATATATATATAATGCATTAATAAGGAGTAAAATATAAAATTTAATGGTTTTCTTAATAAGTGTGAAAAAACTTGATGACACTTATATTAAAATAGAGGGAGTATTATGGAAATAAGTGGGTATATAGTTGTGAAAATTTTATATAGTAAAAAATTATTATGTTGTTTTTATAAATTTATTATGTAAACAAGTGGATATATATCACTGTGAAAATTTTAAATATTATAATTTTCATTAAAGAATAATTATTTTCTTAATTTTACAATTTTGTGTTTGATAGATATTCTTTTAATAACAAAAGTTCATTAAATTTACTTTTTTCATAAAATGCAATCTCTCATATATCTCGTATCACCAAAGTTAATATCTTCAAAGTCAGTATCTTCTAAGTACACTAATATCACCAAAGCAGTAGGTCTATAAAACTATCGTACATGAAGTTGTCTTCTACGGCGAAATTAGCATGGGAAACCTAGGTCAATTATTTAAAATAGTGTTTAATCAGGCCAATATTAGTAAATTATTTTTATATGAATGAGTAAATTTAATATGAACTAAATTAAATATTTTTATTTTTGGTTGAATTAGAAATTCAAATGAAAGTTACAACTAAGAAGGTGAAAGAGTACCCTAAACAGCAAACAATAATCATTTTAAGGTGAAAGAGTTTACATTAGATTTAATAGCTTGAAGTAAAATAACGATATTAAAAAGACATAAATTGCATATAACACATGTCAAATATACTTTTTAAATAATGGAGAATAAATAAACATTGTTTTCCCTTTAAGTTTTTGTAAATATAAACATTATTTGATGTAAATATAAAATAACATTCTTTTGTATAAAATTATTTCATATATAAAATAAATTATTAAATGTAAATAACACAAAATTTGGCGTCAAAATAAAAATAAAAATAAAAATTAAATAACCTTATGATTTGATATAAATGAATTAATTGGGATTTAAAATAAACATTGAGACATATAAATAGTATATAGTTATTGGTAGTAGATATCCATAACATCAAAACACAATTCATAATATATATATATACTAAGAGTCACCTATTTTTGACAATATAGTATGGATAAACAAAAAATATTTAAAAGGGAAAAAACTGTACATTTTTTTTTTTGTTTTTTGTCATCATACATTTAATTATTTTCAAACAGCAAATGATAGAATTCAAATACTGTATATACATTATATCTTACCAGTATAAACGTAATAACATATGACATTACGAATCTAAATATGCTTTTGCTTCCAAACTTAGAAAATGACATAACAAACCAAATGTAAAATAAATAAAATAAAATGACACAATTAGTTATATTATAAAAATGATGCCATAGAATTTACAACATGCTCTTAGAACCGCTTCTATATTTTTTTTTAATCCATTCTAAAATCATATAACTTGTTCCATTAATTAATCATCTATACTAATTTCATTTACAATATGCAAGTCTTTATATATCATTGGTTATTACATAACCAATTTGCAAAATAAATCTCTATTTATCAACAAGAACAAAATTTGATTAAATTGTATCCCTTGAATAATTTTTTGACTTGTTCCTCAACAGATTTTTAACTTTCCCCTAAAAATAAAGTTTTTACTTGTCCATCAACAGATTTTTACTTTTCCCTCAAGAATAATTTGATTTTCTGAGTTCAATACTGTATGTTTAGAAAAATTACCAAGCAAAACAAATCATAATAGACATTTACTAAATTACTGTATTCTTTCAAACAAAATTCATAAATTTATAAACTTTTACTTCTTTGTTGTAAGTGAAACTGATACATCTCTTATTTCAAAATCTAACTACCAAATAACAGTGCTTCCTATGATTACTAAATCCACAATATGTCTTGTTCTGTCGCTGGATGATTTTGTCTTAGTGCAAGACCAGCAACGAAGGTACCAAATGAGACAATCATGTGACTTCAAATCAGATAACCTGAAACTTGCTATACAAGTTTTTTACTTAAAACATGCAAGTCCGTGGTTTGGGTTCAGAGATAACCAAAACATAGTAGAAAAGACAGATCAAAGAAGGACAATTTTTAAAGGCTAAGAGTTATCACTTATGATTTATGAGTTATGAGCAACAAGACTACATCATATTAATCTAAATATATACTTGGCTAGTTTAACTTGAACTGTCATTTTAAGAAGTCTTGGAAAAAACCAAAAAAGAGATCTTAAAGTTAATGGTGAAGTAATGGTATCTTAAAGTTGATGGAATTGGTCGTCAGTCACATTGGATAAATTGAACACTAGGGATGTGTTGGACTTTGTAGTTATCTTGTCCACCTTCAGACAATTTCTCTGTCCAATCCTTATTCATTCCTTCGAACTTGAGTTCCTTTAAGGATGTTATATACTCGCCCGTACGAAGGCATGGCATCGACCCTTCTTCTACTATATATCCACTCTGCCAACTTATATTGTCCAAATAACAGTAGCTCATACTATTGAACTTATCCTTCTTTCGACGAAAGAATGAAATCTTATAATACAACTGATTTTAGGTATGACTTTTTTTTTAGAGATCTCAAAGGTCACCTGCAGAACTCGCAGGGCTAGCTAGATGGGATCAATCATACCTTGAATCACCCTTCATTCCATCTAGCACATTCCACTTATCATTGAGAGAGGTGGAGCCATGTGTATAATGTATCTTGACTTGCATTTCACGTTCAGCTTATCAAGATGCTTACTACTTACTTCTGAATAATCATACAAGTGCTAGAAATGCTCTTGGTATATATCATCTTGAAGTCAATCTTCATAACTCACAAACTAACAAATCTAAAATATTCAATAAACATCGAGAAATAGACTACATGGCCACATAAGTCAAGGTTGGGGCTAGCTTTGGCTTAAACCCTTTCTTCTTGGATTACATGGCACAAGTCAAGGTTTGGAGCTTTGGCTTGAACCCTTTCTTCTTGGATTAATACCAAATCTGAGCTTTGGCTTTTAACCCTTTCTTTAAAAAAGAAACCTGTTTCGTAAGAAATGTTCGAAACAAGAAGTCGACAAACCGACAATGGAACTAGCAATTGACACATGTATATACTATGCTCTTCTAAATAAGTTATTTGCGTGCGTGCACACGTAACCTATAATTCGATCAATCATTTTATACCTACGGACCACAAATAATGTAGTTACTTAATATTTCAAAATATGACAATAAATATTACAATTTTATAACAAGGCTAATGAAACAACATATATCACGCTTACAACATTATATAACTCATTGTAGAAAATTTAATAAACTAGTTGCGTTGCATAGATGTCTCATTATCAATCGCTAGGGCCGGCGGACTATATATATGGAGTTTCAATTCATGCATGTACGTTACGTAGTGAAATTGAAAGATTCATCATCAATATAATCATGTATGTGATAAATGTGGCTACTATTTTGAAAGGCATATAATTCAATATCGTCATAAACTTGGTACATGAGAAAAAAGTTCGACGAGAAGATCACGTGAAGCTTGCCCCACCCATCTCGCGACTTCACGGTACTTCTCTTCTCAATTTTAATGCTCATTATTATGAAAATTTTAAATCGAATTATAACATAACAACAACAATACAAGTATAAATCATTATATTGTGATCCATTTTTTTTTCTTTTTATTTACTAGCTTTATATTGTTAGTTAGCATCATGCTTATTGTTTGTTATATAAAACTCGGCTACTTGTAAGACGACTAGGTTTCTCAACAACAATACAAGTATATATTGAGTACACATAAGAAAAATATTAGAAATTTTAGTACTATTATTCTTATTTTTTGTGTGATCTATGTTTCCTTACTAATTTATGAAAACAATAATATATATTCTTGTTAATAATTTAAAGTGATGCATCAATACACGTGAGCTAACCTCCAAACCCCACACCCTTTCTCTCTCGCTTAAAATCATTCACACAATCACACCCATCAAATGATTTCAAATTTTTTCCTCTTTGGATGATCCATAAATATAATATTTGAGTAAAATAATTACTTTCACATCAATTTTAATGCATTTCTAATCTGATCTCACAAACTCAAGTTTGGATTTTACTCAAAAGAGAAAAGTTTGGCCTTACTAAAACTATATACCCTTTTCAAAGTTGTGGCTTTCCCATCTCTTTAGTATTCCTACATAACTTTTATTTATTGGTGGGAAAACATAACTTCCATCAATTTTCTTACCATTTTTGGATTCAAGAGTTCAAAAACAAATCAAGTTGATACCAAAGCATTGTTTAGATGAAATGATGAATCTAGTAAATAAGAATTTTGTTTGTTATAATATAAGTCTTAATTATCAGATATTTTTACATTATATAATCGTATAAGATTCTTTCTTTTTCTAGTAATAATCCAAAGAAAATCATACAATTTTAATACAAACGAAATTTGTAATAGTTTTTTAATGTGATGTAAAATATGACCTACCATTATATTAGATAGATGTCGTGTTTTAGGGTCTAAAGTTTTAACTCTTAGACTGAGATTTGTAATTTAGTATACTTGTAGCTATCACCACCATATCAATATGCCGCCCCATATTTGTATTCATCGGCTGATTAGTATGCATGAAAACTTCTCACGTATATTTATATTGTTATAATAGTTTTTTTTTAAAAATTAATTACAAACATGATTTAATTGAACTAAAATTGAAGGTGAGAAAATAAGATGGATTAAATTTAAAGTGAAGAAGACTATTATACCTTTTTCTACAAATAAAATAATAATTACAAACTATTCTTTTTTCCCCAAACCAAACAATCCCACTGAAAAACAAAGTGGGGATTGTCGAAGAAACCATCTTACCTTTTCTAACATAGTTCTTGTGTTCTTCCTACTAGTTAATATGCCCACCCAAGAAAGAAAAAAAAAATAAGTAATACAAAAAAACGAATTAATTACTTCATATTAAAATTCAACAAGCTGCAGATGGATTGGTATAAGGGTTGAAGAAGTGAGGCTTTGAGGAGATGGAGAAAGCTCCTTTAGTCTTACCTCCATCGACAACCACCGTGTTGGCCACACTACCACCACCTCCTCCTCCGTTACCGCCACCGGCGATGATTATCTCACATGAAGGACATATCGTTAGAGTAGGGTTTGTAGACATGTGCATGTAAAAGGGCTGATGATGATTAGTCAAGCTTAGGGTTTTGAGTTCTTGAATCTCTTTCCGAAGTCTCATGTTCTCATCTGTTAATGTCTCACAACACTTCTTCAAAATCTCGCAATCTACTTCTGTTTGCTTCAGCTTTGTCCTGCTCAAAATTTTCATTTAATAAAATAAATATATTACTAAATAAAAATAATTTCACGTACAATTAAAAAATGAATATTATAGAGTAAATCAACAAAAACAAAAAAAACATGTACCTGGCTCTTCTATTTTGAAACCATACTTCAACTTGTCTTGGCCTTAGGTTCAGCTGTCTTGCCAGAACTTGCTTTTGCTTCTGTTAAAAAAAAAAAGAATCATATTAGATAAGGATGATCAAAAGTGATTAGTTACGTATAATAATAAGAATTAGGATTAAGGTTTATATAATTACGGGATTAAGAGTGCTATGGTGCTTGAAGCTATCCTCAAGACGAGAAGATTGTTCTTTCGTAAGCCTAAGTTTTTTTCTAGCACTAACACCTTCTTCGTCTTCACTTATAACCCTCTTCGTAGTCTCCTCCTCCTCCGGTGACTCTTCGCCGCCGTATCTCTCTCTCTTCACCACCCTCCCGCTTGAAAAAGAAGAGACTCCACTGAGAGATGACGTCTGACGGCAAAGCTGGTCGGCTCCGGCTACCAACGTCAACAAGGGATCGCCGGAGAGGCTTAGGGTCAACGACGGCTCGAGCTTGTATTCGGAAGATCTCTTGATGGCATTATTATAATTATTTGGAGTTGGTGAGAGACCTAATCCAAGAACGAGACCTGAGTTGCATGAATCATCATAACTCATCTGAGTCAAAATGATGAAAAATATCTTGCCTATGTAAATTTTATCTATCTTTGGGATTTTGAGAGGAAAAAAGAAATGAGATTTTTTTTTTGGTTTTGGGTTTGATGAAGTTTAGGAAATAATGGGAGGAGATGAAGCCAAGGGGGCTTCTTAAGAAGGAGAAGAAAAGTATTTTTTTTTTTCTTTTAAAATTGATGGGTGGGTGGATGGCTAATAATTATTAATCAATGGAATGATTTATCTATTTTAAAGAAATGATTTTATTTTGTTTGTAATTTTTTTTGGAGAAAAAAAAAGAATAATGTGGGAAATTATGATGGCACAATTCTCTCCACTTTTAGTTTTATCACTTGCAAAGGTTGACCAAATGAGCATCCCACTTGGCTCTTGCTACTATTCTCCCCACTAAGATAAAAGTTCCTAAAAAGGTTAAATGTTTTTTTTATATATATATATTTTTTTGAAACAAATGGCTTTATATTTGGTGAAATAAATTATCATATCAAGTTAAATATTCTTGTTTACAAAATTTATTCATTATAGTAAAGACCCACCTAGCTTGTTTAATTTTTTTTTTTTTGGAAATTGAATGATATGCCTAACTATTTCCAAAAGGTACTAAATTAATTGTTGAATGAGAACAAGAGAACCAAACCTAAACAAGATGGTGGGCATCACTATCCATATGTATCAAATCAGAAGCACTTAAACTAAAATATATAATATCTAATCAAATAAATCAATTGAAACATCAAGGGCCAATGTGTTTCTGTGATAAGAAAAAGAGAGGCTGAACAATATTTTGTTGGTAAACTGATTTGTTGTCTGTTATTTAAAGGCACCATCTTAATCACTTTCTTATATAAGTATAATTTCTCATAATTTCATATTTTTATCTTATCTTATCACATTCCTTCTTTCTCAATAAAATCGATGTAACAAATTTAAGATACCTAGAGAGAAAAAAATGGGTAGCTCACACAATATGTGGCTCAAACAAGAGGGTGCATGCACTCACCTTTTAAAATCGCTTTTTTTTTTTTGTTTGGTTGCCTGACGTAACATTAGAACTATCAAGAGAACAAATAAAAGTGGGTAGAAACTACTAAAACATGATATGTGGCTAAATATGATTCGTCAAACAACAAAACTAAAATCTTTGGAGTAATTGACTAAAGATATATAGTTGATGTGTAACCTTTCAAATAGGTTTGGTCTCAGCTTTGTTTGTTTGTTTTGGTACTTCCCAATAATGCCTTTGTCGGCTATACTCATCCAACCAAAGGTTAGGTTACCAATCCTACGCACATTATTATTGTCATTATCTTTCATCCCTATGTTTTTTCATCTATAATCTAGTTTTTCACTTTATTTCTTATTGTTTATTGAAACTATTTGCTTGATTAAATTATGTTTTACCCCTAATCTGATAGTAGCCCACACACGAAGATTTCAATGAAAAAAGTACGAAAATAAAATAATGCGATTTGTCAGTTTCATATCATTGTATAAAATTTGACTTTTGGTAGGTACGAGTACGACGAGTTATCAATATGCTAAGAATGATGAATGTTCATGGATATATAGATAATATATATTAAATCGACAAAATGTAGAATAATTCACCAATTTTAACTATAAAAATTTAATATGATGTCGCACCTTAGAATTAGTAATCTGTCCATGATTTTTTTTCTCATCAGGTTTTATTTTTTATAAAGCCTATCGGATGTTATGAAAATATACATGAATTTAGCTCACATTTTTATATATACTTAATAAATTTAAACTGGAAGAGTTCATACCAAAACAAAATTAATTCATTTAGTTCTTCAAACATTTAACAAATTTTTCTAAAACATACCAAAACTGATTTAGAGAAGTGCATGTATGAATTCATAGTAATATTAAATTCTTTTGGACGTCAAATTAGTAATATTATTAAACATTCAAGTATTACTAATTTAACTAGTTTGGTTTCTCATTATGAAGAGTTGGTCCCTGGCCGCCAAACCAGTCTCCTCAAGAGAAGGTGTGGCAAACTCGTTTCCACGACGATTACATACATGATTTATCACTAATTAAAATTATTTTAATTAGATTTAGTTAACTAATCAAAATCCTAATCTCGAACTTAGGTGTTAAACTTTGAAAATACATATTGACCCAATCATTTAATATTTTAGTTTAAGAATAAGGCGACAAAAGTTGGCTCGGACCAATACTATATGCAATGATTTAGGTGATCTTCCAACTAAGTAGACGCCATATTAATTTAGTTTAATTAAGCTCATATTGTGCTCCACTATTTTTCAAGATATATGGAATATCTCGTTAGATTTTCAAATTTCTAGTGACATGCGTGTGTGTATGTTTATCTTAACGATTTAAGCTGATGAATAATATTCAAATCAAAGACATACTTGCTAGATCTATATATATATTTTTTTCACCGAATTATAATTATATTGCAAATATTGCATGTGAACTTCTTCAAATCCATCATATTGCATTTGCATATGTTTTTCTTCAAAAACTCAAATTCACAATAAGATTATATTTTTTCATAATATGATATATATTTCTATCTAGCAAGAACTTTGTTTGGAAACATATATATGAAGTATTCTTGCCCCTCCTATTAATTTTGTCTTGCTGTTCACATTTGGGTTACCTTCTTTTTAATTTTGACTTATGGGAATATGAAAACAGCTTAAATTTATATCAATATTACAAAAGATCGATTTTCTTAAGATAAACCATAGGTTAGAAGTTTGATTCTTAAACTCTAAATTCTAAACAGTAACTCTAAAATTTAATTCTTAATTCGAAAAGATAAACTTTTGACCGGTTCTAATACACAACACATCATATTTTTTCGTCGGCATGAATACATACATGAACAAGATTATAAGAATAACAATAGAAAAACATTGACTTTGGAGAAAGTAATACAATTTTAAAAGTACGTTAATTAAGAAGGTGGAACAATAGAGAAAAAACAAATAATAGTGATAATTAAGGATGTCATGTTTTTTTCAAATAAACCCATAGTATAATGGAGATTGTGACCCACACCTACAAGTCGCATTACCTTTGTTCATATGATTGGTAACAATTAAAATATAATCATCTTTCCATCAAAACCTCATCTTCTTTTGTTTAGGCACCAATCAAACCTCATCCACAACAATAAACTATAAAACTGTAACAAATAACAATTAAGTATAGAAGAGAAAAGAAAACACACACAAAGAATGAGAATAGAGAAAGTGGTGGTTCACATGTCATCAAGACTAAGCACCATCCATATGGAATCATGGCTTCCCCTCTTCACAAACATCTTATCCATCCACACACGACACGAGAGAGAAGCGAAGTAGTTCCAAAACAGTATCTTTGTCAGTTAGGTTCTACACGTGTCGGATTTTAGACAACTTAAAACATTTAGGTCCTACCAAATGATTTGCTATGATTGAGTCTCTCTGATTCTCATTCTCCAATAGATGTTGTTATAAGATCATGATAATGACGACTTTGATGACAATTAATCCACTCATTTTCAGTAGATGTTTAGTTATGTTATAAAAAAATATCTCAAATAATGTTGTTTATGTTTGGAAAAATGTCAAAAAAAAGAAAAAACAAAAAAAAATGACTTTTAACAAAAAATTTGAAAAAAGTCTCAACTTATTTTACACAAACACATATTTATATTGAAAGATCATTTTTATTTGGGAGAGAATTGTTTTCTTAATATGTGTATAACAACTTTAAACATCATTTAAAATAAAACGGAGAAAGTATAAAAATAATTATGATCGAGTGACACTCGGAAAAGAACCATATTAAATACTCTGATTTCTGGCATAAGAAGATATACGAGAGTAGGTCCAAATCCTCTTATTTAAAATTAATTTTCTTACCAAAAAAACCATATATTTTGGTTAAAATTTGACTAGTTCGGTTAATCGATTTTATTCAGTTTTATACTTTTGATATATTCAATCCTAAAAAAAAAAAAAAAAACTGGGCCAATCACTTCTTAATCTTATACAGCCCAAGAAACACAACCGAGCCACTTTTCTTTTTCGACCGAACGTAAAACCCACTTCCGAACATGAGGATCTGTCCCCAACAATATTTTTCGGTTTTGGGTCTGCCATTTCTTCTTTGAAACGAAAATGGAGTATAATATGTACATATAAATGAAAGATTCAAATTTATTTTCATTTTTCCATTCGAAAAAGACCACATCATTATTAGCCATAGATGCACTTTTTCTCAAACAACAGCATACCAAAATATAATTCTGGTAAAAAAAAAAATTACATCACTTGTAATTTGCAAAAAGAAAAAACTAAACTTCAAAAAATAAGAACCTATCTATCGTTCATCAGCTTCACGGTCTTGAAACGACAGTCGGAAAACCCAGTTAGAGATATTTGTTATCTTTTTCTTCCTCGAACCCTTTAGTCTTTGGCTTTCACTCTTTTGGCAGCTCCTCTTTGAAGTTTCATCGTCAACAAACTTCTTCAATCTCTTCAAAGCAAGCTTTAATGTCTCCTCACTCATGTTCGCGAAACAAACCCTAAACCAACCAGGTTCTACACAATGGCACGACGAACCAGGAGAGATGTTGAGCTTCACTTGGTAAACAATCTTCTTCCAAAGATCCATCTCTGCGTCAAACGTTTTAGAGCCAAGTAGATGTCTCATGTCGACCCAACAAAAGAGTCCCGCGTTACTTTCATCAAGACATTTGATCCCTATGGCCTCTAGACCAGACACGAGCTTTCTTTGTCTATTCTTGAGCCTGTTTTGGTTCTCTCTAAGGTAGTTCTTGGTAAACTTCTTGTCGGATAGTAATGAGGATAGTAGGTATTGTGTTTGAGAGGAGACAAGACCGAAACTAGACATTTTTGTAGCGGCAGAGATGACATCTTTGTCGTTGGAGTAAATGGCTCCAACTCTAAAACCAGGGAGGCCTAGATCTTTAGATAAACTATAAACAATGTGGACACGGTTAAAAACATCAGTGTTTTCGAGTTTATTGTTTTTTAAAATCTCCATGACGCTGACGAATTCTGAAGAGTTGAATACTGTGCCTGAATATATCTCGTCGCTAACTAAATGTATATTCTTATGCTTGGAGATGAAATCAAATAGAATGTTGAGTTCGGTTCGGGTTGTTGTCGTGCCTAAAGGGTTAGATGGGTTGGTGATGAGTATTCCTTTGACGTTTAGGTCAAGCTTCTTGGCTTGCTCGTAGGCTTCTTCCAGTGCAAGTTTCGTTATTTGAAACCCGTTAGTACTTGAGCATTGGATTGGTACAATCTCAACCCCGGTTCGCCATTTTAGATCCCTATCAAACCTAAAGTATAAAAAAAAAAGTAAAGAAGAGTGTTTAGCTATGTAAAGTTTGTAGCAATAATAATAGAATTGTTACGACTTAAACGATGTACTAACCCTGGATAATATGGCGTGGGAATCAAGAAAGCGTCACCGGGATCTGCTAGACAAAACATTAGAGTTTCGTTTGCGGAAGTGGCTCCAGCAGTGAGGACAAGGTTGTTTGAATCGAAAGAGACTCGGTTTCCTCTATTTTCTGACATGAAGTCAGCCAAGGCCTGTAAAATCATTTAAGAAAGATCAGCAAAACTATAAATAGATTTGATATACTTATTGATTGATATATACAATAACAATCTTTACATTTTTGAAGGAAGAGAGGCCATGGTAGTCTTGAAAGAGAGCGAGTTCCCGGAAAATAGACTGGCCATCTTGCTTGAAACAGGCTGCGTCTTGGTTCTGTTCAAGCCATGACTCTAGTAGATCAAAGCATAACTACACATGCAAATCCAAATTTTTTTTATTAGTCTCTATATATGGTGTACATGTATACATGAATATATTTTTGATTTATATTAGTTGAATAATGTTTAGTTACCTGATTTTCAGCAAGACCCATCTGGATAATGCCTTGAGGGTTCTTGATAACGTCGTAAGGATTCTTCTCGTACTCTTCCCAACCAAGGAAATACGAAGAGTCTTGGCCGTGGCTGTTGCATGTAGCTTTTCTTGACAATAGAACCATTTCCTTCTTGTTTTTTTTTTTTTCTTTTTCCTTATGAAAGATTGAAAAATTAATCTAGAACTAAGACTTGCAGAGAGGAAGAGAGACAGAGAGAGAGAGAGAGAGAGAGAGAGTTTTGTTGGTAAGCTAAGAATGTTCGCATGTGTATATATATAGATAGCTTCATGCAACGCCAAAACACAAAAATATACAAAAAGAGAAAGAGTTGGAGATTTCTGTTTTACAATGGTTTACTCTTGACAGTTTGAATATTTAGTGATTCAAAAATTTAGATATAAATCGAGATTTTTTTCATCAATAAATAGCATTTTTAATCTAGTAAAATTTAAGTTTGAATTTTGAGACTAATTAATAAATTACGAGTTTAATTTTTGTTTTCTCACCATATGAATTATATCAAATTAGAATAGGAAAAAACAGTGAAAGTGATGAGTAATGAGGACACTATACCGACAAGAAAATCTCCATGTAAAATGGCTACTTGTATACAAATATTAAATAATGTGACCCATAGAAAAAAAGAAGAAGAGAAACATGTCAATGCTACAATTTGGGGACTATTTGGAGGGTCTATCATGTTGGTCCACGTTGCTCCCCGATCGTAGCCCTCTCTTGTATTCTATGTCGGCTTTTTTTTCCAACGTTTTAAAGCTTTCCACAAACTTTTTCATACGTTTTTTAGTCGGCATATATGTTTATGTTTTAGTACATAAACTAGGCTAATTACAATTTATACTTAAGTATATATTGAAAATGCAGATTAACTTTATTACATTATTTTCTAAAAAAAAAATATTACAGTGGCATATTATATTTTCAAGAATTTAAATTTAGATTTGGATTATTGTTGGAACTTCGATTTGATATCTTGTTTATCAGTATTTTACAAATTGGACGATGATGACAATTATGAGTTATATTGCATATTATTTTTGACGTTGTATAATTGACTTGTATTTTTAGGAATTCGTTCATAAAGTTACAAAAAATAACGATTTAAAGGGTTCTTTTTGGCATCAAACCTTTGATATTATTAGCACATTTTTATTTTATTTCTTTTCACGTTGGTCGCACTCAGTTGAAGATTTATCATACAATTCTAACAATGATATACTAATAACTATGGTTAACCAACTCAAATTCTAATTGTAACCTCTAGGTTTTCTCTGCCTAACTAATTCAAAACCCCTCTTCGCGAATATGATTATATGAGAGTAAAATTATTGAAACAATACGTTTATTCTTTATTTTGATCTCTATAACAAAACTAACATTAGTACATTACAAATATCGAACTGATTATGAAAAAGGATAATTTAGAAGATTTGGTGTCGTGTATAGTAATGTCGATATATAATGGCGTGTACACACGAAACTACGATTTCTCTTTAACCATCTCAAAAATTTTGAATGTAACATATAGACTATATAGTTAGTTTATATTCGTCGGAAACGTGTCGTACCAATGCGACCATAACACGTACCCATGCGTGTTCTACGAGACAAGCAATGTTCGTATAAAGAAAGTTTTGAAGGCCGAACCAATGATTGTATTTCCCAAATTTAACAAACTTATGATACCGAATTACAAAACTAACTACGTGTTTTGCAGTTGTAAACACATGTCCTCGAAGGTCGACCCATGCATATAGTATAGTTCAAAATTTGAAAAATAACAACAATATTGTAAAGTTTTTCAACAATTTAGGCATTTAGATGTGATATATTGTATTTATTCTGAAAATAAAAGGATGGAGATAATCAAATACCAGTTTACATTATTGGATTTACTTTTCTCAGTGACAAATTATTGAAGTTAGGTGAAGTGTTGCAGGGGCATCATGATCCTGTTTTGAGACTTTTAAGTTCCTGTCTTCTCTTTACTTTCTTTTAGAGATTATAGAATATCTTTGACATTTGTTGCGAAAACAAAGCTATATTTAGAAACGATAAAATTGTTTTTTTTAGGTAAAATAACAGTAGATATAATGATAGAAAATAGATGATGGTAAGAGAAAATAAATTGTTTTTTTTTAAGGTAAAAATAACAGTAGAAACGATAATCTTGTTCTTACAAAAAAAATTTCCGAGAAAATGTCGTTTTATATATTTTTCCCTATTTTTAATGTAACATTTTGTAAATAAGTTCCAGATTAATCCATTATCTAAAGCTAAAGTTAAAGTCATTTTGATTTGGTTAAGGATATATAAATAAGTACATGTTTGTATATTTAATATATATTTTGATATATGTTTGAAATGTGTCAAAATAATATTTTTACTGAAAATATAGCAGTACTAGACAAATTACTAGCAACATGTTATGTTTACCATCAAAACTTTTATCGAAAATAACTAAAGCAAATAGTATAATCTAATCGACAATTGTAGCAATTAAGTACCCTAAAATTAACAAAATGTAAACAGTTGACAATGTGGGTTCATCACTGGTCTAGTGGTCGAAAGAGACTCAATCACCATGGCAAATCCAACTTCGATGCTAGTCAATGTCTCATCACGTGGGAGCGAAGTCTACAAGAATTTCACAGAAAATAAATGAAAAATCTATTATTTTAATTAAAAAGGAAATAGTATATATGTAAATCCTAATTATATAATTAGGATTTAGGAATAACTTTGATATGATCATTCATTTGATAGGCTTTGCAGCCTTTAAAGCTTAACAACACCAAGTGAGTGCTCACAATATAAGACAAACATGTCATTTACGAGGTCTAAAGCATATGCTTTCCGCTAATTTACATATGTTTTTTTGTCGCCTAAATATTAACAACTAATTACTAATATAATCATCTACTAGTAGTGGTATATAATCATCTACTAGTAGTAGTATATTAGTCCATTTCAATATATATATGGCTATAATAGTGTTCATATAAATTATATATATACACCATAAATAAGAATTTTTGTTGTTAAAAAACAATCATTTTTTGTAAGTGATAAAAGTATTTGTCTTTGTCAAAAAGACAAAAAGAAACAAATTTAGAATATTTAATTTAGATTTAATTTGTTTGTACATATATAACTTGGTAATTTATAATTGCAATTACACACGTTTGGAATTATAGATGCCAAAGAAGATTAACATTTTCATTTATTCTATTATATGCTAATGTTGATTCTAACATGTGAAATTAGAATTTTTTACTTTAATAAAATTTCTTTTATAAAAATGTGTAAGTTATCAAAATCTTTTTCAAAAAAATTTACAATATTATGCTTTTATTTATTATTATTGTAATGTTTATGATGATGATTAATATTTAAGATCAAGAGGGTCCATATGAAAATGAGTGACAACTAAGATGACGTTCACATTGTCTTGGTCCTCCTCGCATATATATCCTAGGACCAACTCTTGCTTCACCTCTTCCATAACGTAGGACCTTTCTCCTATTTCACATTATACTTGTCTTCTATTTTTCTTTGTCTTTTACTATCTAATAAAACAAAAAAAAAGATTGATTTGAATTTTTTCGTCACAACATTTTTAAAAATTCTTCTATCCAACAAGATTTATAGCTAAGAACAGTTGTATTAAACTTAATGTATTAACTTTGGTAAAGATATTTGGCAAAATCTTAGAAGTCGCCAGTAACGCGTGGGACGAAACTTTTGATTTCGGGCCTAAGAAAATGTATGGGCATTGGCCCAGAACCTCTTTGATTATTAAAAAAAAAAAACTGTATTAACCTTATAATTATAAATCATATTTCTTAGAAGTTTGCAATACTGACAAGGCTTTGATGTATGTGTCTTCCATTTAGGCTCTTGTTTTAAACAACTTGCAACATTGGTCGATCGATTGATAACTACATTGTTAACCAAACCCTTACAATTTGCAAAATGTAGTTGACAAACACCATTTGACACTATCTAGCTATAACAACATCTCTCGAATCAAGTAGGACTAAAACAACATTCATGTGTGAAGAAACACTACACTTACACATGATATGTTCAATTTCCATTTCCATTACAGCCTTAAATTTGTCTGCATAGAGAAATGCCAAAGTGGGTCAATTTCAAGATTACGAACAAGTATGCACAACATTGAAGCATGGAGTGTTGTTGTTGCTTTGAAAATAGATTCTTTCTATTGAACCAGGACATTATAGAAACATTGCAATAAATATAAACTTCTCACAGCCTTGCTTTGAAAGCTCTTCTTGTGTGTTTTAGATTTATGTTGCAAATTGTTATAACCCAATAACTGTAACTCAATTATTTTGTCGTCTTCACAAAATCTAGAAATCAAATTAGATATAAACACGACCTCATTGGTCCCAAGAACTGACAATGTGTGGGTAGTTGAATAGACCTTGGAGCTACACTTAAAAGCCTATAATCTTTGTTCATAACTCGCTCATATATCTCTTCGAGTCGAAGATCAGAGCGAGGTAAATATAGTCTTCTTCCCTATAACCGATGTTCGAATTTAGGACATTTCCGGACTGTACCAACTTCTGGCTTTAGGATTGAATTCAACCATTGAGCTAGCAACCCTTAAGTGAGTTACTATGATTGATGTACATTGAGATTCATGTAACCTCAGTCCCCATTAACAACAAAAGAACTATGTACCTAAAGAGCTAGGATATACAAAATGTACATAAGACTTAGATTTTACTTAAGTGTTTCCCATTAATGCACTTACAAGACTCATTGCTCTCAATCATATATATACCTAAGAAGCTATGATTATAGTTATTCAAGAGCTGTCTTGCCTAAATATCCAACAAATTTATCATCAAGCCACTATGGCATATGATTAACAGTTATAGTGTTTGCCTAAATAGCTTTTATCTTTCAATGTAAGTAGTAGCTCCTGGTGCGTCATTGAGGAGGAGTGCGGTATATAGCAGCAATAGTACAAGGGAAGAACATTTGCCTAACTCCCTCTGATTTAATAATTGGAAAGATGATGCCTGAAGCACTCTGTGAAATAGCAAAATATCAAAGATCAATGTAATTTAGCAATGTTGTGTATAGTAGAAGCACTCTCGATTCAGAGGATCGAAACCACATACCACGATGATCCTAAGTCCAAGCCGAAAGCTTTTAATCGTAGGAAATGGAAGCATAAGACGACCAACAGCATAGATCGCCACAGCAAAGAAGTGAAGAACTAGACTTAGGGGACAAGGGTCTAAACCAGAGAGCAATGCAACTGGACCAGATGAGCAAATACCTCCAAGGCTAAGATAGTCGAAGCAAGCTTCACGCATTTCTGTTTTTGCTTCATTGGAAGAAGCTAAAAAGACCTTGTACAACGCGTCCGCCAATGTATTAATGGTGGAAGCTACAGGCTGTAGAAGGGCCACACACAACTCTATTAAAAACATAAACCAACACATAGGAAGCTTTCAATTTTTCTAAAGATGCTTACTTTGCGCAGTGTGTAAAAGGATTCCATATACTTAGACAATGCTTCTTTGTCATTAAGGTTTTGAATTGGCCTTAGAAGATCACGGAGTACAACGATATCTGCCAATGCAACAGTCATCCCACCACCGGTTAAAGGATGTCTCATGTTGAATGCATCACCAAGAAGAAGAGCTCCAGGAGTAGGAATCGGGTTAGCTGGCATGCTGCGGTTTGGCATAGTTCTGATATTACCTTTATTAACCGCAGCGATGAATGCTTCATGAACCTCCGTTGGTAACTGAGGTGCAACCTTTGTTTTCAAATACTTAGCCATTTCACCATTTGCAATGGGAGGAACTTTTTGACCCTGTACATCAACTAAGCAACGGACTTCTGAACTGCTTATGGGATACATTAAGATAGGCGATGGATCACCGAGAACAACATGCCCGTGATTTGCAAATGGAAGTTCACAGTTCTCCAAAACAAGACCAACAAAAATAGATGGCACATCCACCTGATATAAATCAAAACCAAGTAAGTTCCACAAATACTGCAAATTAACTTTAATGACCAATCTAGGAGACAAGACAACCTTAGATCTGCAAAGAGACCTACGCAAGTTGGAGAAACAACCATCACATACAATTGTGAGAGGAGCATATGATCTAAACTCATCTCCATCCTTTGTTCTGTATTGAACCCCTTTGATTGTCCCGTTGTCTTCAAGCAACGACGTTACTGTTCCTTGTTCCAATCGTACACTGAATCACAAACAAAGCATTAGACCGTATCAAAAAGCTAGATGCAAGTTAAATAATCAATCAATAATATTACTTTGAAAGAGAAGCAGCTTTTTCTCGCAATCTCATCACAAATCTCCCATTGTGGAAACTTCTCCCTGCTACATCCGAATCAAACGTTTCCAAGGGGTAAGGAAGTTTAATATGCTTCCCATCTTTAAAGAGAGCATAACCAAGAACTCGTTGAGCATCAATCTCCTTCACACAATCTAAAATCACACAAACTAAAGCTATCAAAATCAGAGTCCAAGTTATATAAAAACAGTCAAGCTCATTGGTCTCTTCTAAGTTCTAACCCTCAAGTCCAAGTTCTATTAACTTTAAGTAACCACCAGGTTGAAGCAATTCACCAACGATTCTGTTTTGCTCAGACAAGTCTCTTTCAATGACATGAACTCTTCGTCCTTCCTTCAACAACAACCACACAAAATGCCAAAATTCAGACAAGAACTTGCGTCTTGAACACAAACAACACAAAAACCTGAGTTTTCTCAAACTGTTTCAAGAACACATTACTTCAAAATGTTCTAAAAAATAAAGATCACACCATTTTTGTGATCCAAGATCAAACTATATAATTAATAAGCAGAATCATTTCCTAATTACAATGGCATTTAATTAAAACTATATATTATAATAATGTCGAAATATTATACTTATAAAGTTACTAATTTGTTGATTTATGAAAATATTAATTTATATAAGTTTGTGACTTGCCTTGCCAAGAGTATGAGCAAGAGCAGCACCGGCGACACCAGCTCCGACGATGATGACATCAATGCCGGTGCCGGAGTCATCCTTCCTCGATACAACGAGTCTACCAATCTTCTTACTCCGATTTCTAATCGCATCGTTACTACTCCGACGCAAAACGTAGAGAAACGCAAACGCGAATAGAGAAGCTACGAACGTTCCTATAAAGAATCGATCCAACACAATAGTCGCCGGGGCAATCACCGTATTTCTCACGGCGGCGCGTTTGTGTCGTTCCTCCGCCGTGGATTTGCCGCGGCGAATGTAGGTGGCTCCGGTGGTGGATCGAGGATTAGAGAGTGAGAATCGAAGAGAGAGAGGGAGATTTGTGCAGAGAAGTGAAGATTTGATAAGAGGATTAAACAGTGGAAGGTTCTTGATTACGACTGATTTCATAATTTTTGTTTTTAGTTTAAGAAGAAGACCAAAGTCCGATATTATTACTACGATTTGGTTTGGTTTGAAATATGTGGGTATCTTGTATATCACATGATACAATACACTATTTAAGGCCCATTCGAATCAAGGCCCAATTTGTTAGTTATGCGTATAAGGGGGATATACAGAAGAATCATACACAAATTTCCCAATTGCATTGACGCTACATAATAGTCGAACAAATTGAGGACAAAAAAAAAAAGTCGAACAAATTGAGTAAAATGAAGCGTAGATCTGTAAAATGTAATAGGAATTTTTACATGGTAATATTAGTATTTAACTTTTTTTTTAGGTGACCAAAAAAAGAAAAACTTCTTTTTTTTTTTTAACATTGAGACTAACTATATTATGAAAGGAAGAAATCAAGGTAAGAAAAGAAAAAAACATCGCGAGTAACACTCCGAGTTATCTCTTTAGCTGACGTATAGTTTCGATGAAAAGAATTTAAAAGAGATTTCTCCAATCACCTGGATAATTTGAAAGATTTTGTCAAGTTGCAATCTATATTTAAGTCAGAGTAAAGGGGTTGCAAAAAATAAAAAAAAATAGTTATGAATTAAAAAAAAGTTAATGTTTTTGTAAAAAAACAAAAATCAAAACTGCAATAAAAATACAAAGATGTAATAGCATATTATTATCAGTGAAAAATGTCATTTAAGAAAAATAATAATACAATGTCATAAGTGTGTCATTTGGAAAATAATATGTTTTTAACATTAAAATCATATTTTTTTGGAAAAATCTGATAAATAATGTGTCAAGCGAGAAAATTATGTGATAAAGAGATATCTTTTACTATCATGTATATTTGCTGTGAAAATGACAAACATGAAAAAAAATAAAAGTATGACGACAGAGATTCACTACAGTTTTAAGAAAAGAGAACGATATAGAGAGCGGTTAGCCTAGATTTATCGAGTCATTTAAAAAAAAAACATTATTCATCTATGATTAATTTTTTTGTTATTCTTAAACTATTTATCCATTATTAGGTTTGTTAGTTCTCTTTCACTTCATAGTTATTCAATACTCATTTTGTTCCTAATCAATGTTTTTTTAGATTTTTGACACATATTAGAAAAACATTAAAAGTTGATTAATCACTTGTTTTTTTTTGATTAACAGTTCTTAAAAATTCGAAACTAATAATATTTAGTTATTTATTTTAAACTTTAAAAATACTAATTAATAATACATAAATAATTGTGTTAAAAATAATAATAATACATAAATAATTTTAAAATACATCAATTTGTTTTCTAGAAAATACATTACTAAGGAACACAAGGAGTCTAATGGGTAATTATCAAATACTTTTTGTTTGGGGTATAGGAGATACTAATTCGGGTTTTTATATAAAATTTATGTTTCTTATTTTTAGTTTTATTATTAAAATGATAAGTTTTCAAATAAAAATCTCAAATATGTGGATCAATGATGCGTTATGCTTCCTACCTACAAACACAACCAAATTGCTTCCCCTTTAGTCCTTTACCACAACAAGAATTGAAGTATTGAACATTTCGAAAATACAACTCTAATCGTCTATATATGTATCCTTCACTATAGGATTTTCAAATTGTTTAACTAAAAAAACTAAGCAACCTATGGTTTTACAAAAGTGTCGTCCTAGCTTCACTTCCAACACATATTGGTGTTTCAATGTATACCGTAAAAGAAATTATAAAATTGACAATCTTGGAGCTTTTGATCAGACCAAACCCAAACCAAAAGTGTTAAAACAAGACATATAGCTTCCACACGACAGCTCCATAGGTCTAAATCTAAAGTCTAACCCTAACACTATAGAGTCACCTTATCAAAAATATCACGTGTCATGTGGCTTTGCCTGCGGGACCAACGTGACCACGACAACCAATGAACTTAAACGTGATCTACTTTACCATCACACAACCAACCTACGTAAATTGCCTTTTTTTACCTATCATAAAAAAAATGTATGTTATTTATTTTTTACTTTATTTAAGTTTTCAGATTTTAGATTACACAGTTGAATTTTTATTTTAAATAATAGTAAATAAAATGTTTTAACAATTTTTAAACGAAAAAAACCAAAATTTTATATTAATTTGTTGTCTGTAACATTTTTCATTTCAAAAGCAGGATCAATACCACTTTTATATCGAAATGTTGATCAATATTCGTTTTAATAGTTATATTTGAATGGTTTTGTGTATACTTTAATCCTATAGTATAATTGATTTGCCATTAAAAAAAAACACTATATTTAAGAGAGCTAAAAAAAGTTTATTAACAATATTGAAAGAGATATAGACAGTGTACTTTAGTCAATAGAAATTAATAAGTTAGATGATTTTTCAACTTGATGCAATAAGTGGATTAACAAACATATTTTATTTGATTACTACTATACTAGTCAAGTTTTATAGGAAAAAAAGAATTAAAAGCCTTATACAAAATAAAGAACCTATCTACCCTAAACCAGAACTTTACAATGTACAACTTAAGAATCATTACATGTACATATCATAACATATACCAAACTAGTAAAAGATATTAGAGATTAGATGCTTGAAGAACACAATGGCCCATGAAACTAAAACCCTGGGGTACACTACACACACCGGAGAAGACCATTAGGACGGTCCGAATATAATTGGGAACCACGTGAATCTGATAGAGATATTTGATACTCCACTCAATACTTGTATTTATTTCGATACGACAATGTCTCTCTTAACTTGTTTCATACTAAAATCTCACTTAAAGTATACCCTATCTTCCTTTTCGAAATGTTTGGTAAAACAATGCCTACAAATTTATATCATAATAAAAAAAAAATTGGAGACACATGCACCGGCTTTATAATTATTAGGTTTTTATGATTTCACAAAATACGTTTTTTGATGGATTAATTTTCAAATTATAGTATGCTTAAATATTGCTAATAATCCTCCATTAAGAAATGTACAATTTGAATTGTTTTATCTATTTATTTTTCTTTAAATTAGCTTTTCGATATAGAGAAAGATGAAATATCACTAAGTTTAATTTGATACTGTATTGATAAAAGTTAGTCATATATTTCTTTTCTTTGCAAAAACCGGGGGATCTTAGCCTCTAAGATCCCCCCAATAATGATGCCCTTAGTCATATAGTATTGCATTCCACAAGGTTTTAGACTTTTAGCCAAGACACCACAATGTGTGAGGTTACAAAACCAAGATTTTGCAATTGCATTATTTTATTATAACTGAAATTAACGAGATGAGCAAAGATTAATATAACTGCTAAGTCATTTCATGGATTTTAAATAGAATAAGCTAAGATGATTATATTACAAAAAGCAAAAAGCAAATGAAAATTCCTTTCTTAGGGTTTGAACTTGAAGTTGAAATATAGGAGTAGAGAGACATGTCTCACGTGGTGTCCACATGTCTTTTATCTTTAAAGAGTTTCATTGCTTGCTTCCACTATAATAGACTCCTATTTACTCAATATCACAAAAAGTAACCCACAAATTTATTAAAAATACTACACCTGATTTTCAAAATCTAAATTTTGTAGAGTTAAGATCAAAATCAAATTATTCATTATGTAGACATCTGATTTTTTTTAATCAGTTATCATAAATTACAAATGATTTTTATCGCTGAACCATGTATTGCAAATTTGCAACAGTATGTAATGTGCTATTTAAATAATTATAAATAATTATTTTTAGTTTATTGTCAAGCAAGAATTAGTTAAAATAATATTATATGATTGGTTGTCTAAACAGAGGAAAAGTAGTTTACAAAAAAATTTCCAAAACAAACAATTTGGAAATCCGAACTAGACAATCCGTTTTAAAGTTACAAAAACGAAGAATTTTATATAAAGAAAATAAAGGAAAAAAAACACGAAACTATCAAAAAACATCTAGATTGTTGGAGTTCGTAAAAAAATTACACAATTGCGACTAACTCTTCACAATCAGATTTTAATATCTAACAATCAAAGTTTTTTTGTGGGAGTAATAAATTTACGATTTATGTTACCCACACAAAAAATATAATTTTGTTTTCTTACATTTAGTTTACGATAAAAATATTTGTTTCATCCCAAATATGAATTAGGAGATGTTTTAAAACGTTTTTCTTAAATTTTTTGAGTTTTTTTTTTAACTATTGTGATATATGCTTTTAGTTATTTTTCTATAGGTGACTTTTTTCTAAAACCATTTTTGTGTAACTAATTATATATAGTAAATAAATAGTTTGTAGTAACATGTCCGAGAGAGATCTTGATTGTGTTTTTCGGTACCATTCTTTGTCTCCACCCAAAGCTATATCATATCTCTCTCTCACTCACTCTCCCAATTATTACTTTGTTTTATCAAATATAAATAAATATCCTTTGTATTCATATAAACATAAATAAATAAAATATCTCTACAGTATAAAGAAAATAAAAACTTCTCCTCGTTCTTCTCCCTCTCTCTCTCTCTCTCTCTCTCTCTCTCTCTCTCTCTCTTCTTCACTCTGAGCTCAAGCGATTTCATCCCATGGGAAAAATCTCTGAAGTGATTATTTAGCACTTCTTTTTTTCTTTTTTTTTTGTCACCTTCTGAATCCATTTTTATGGATCTTGGAGTTCGTGTTCCGTGTAATGAAAACAACGGGTCTTCTCCGGGTCAAACCGAACTCGGATCTGGTTTCAGTAACAAGCAAGAAAGATCCGGTTTCGATGGTGAAGAAGATTGCTGGAGAAGTTCAAAGCTCTCAAGAACATCTAATGATGGCTTCTCTTCTTCCTCTGCCGCTGCTGCTAAGACGCTGTCGTTTCATCAGGGCATCCCTTTACTGAGATCTACCACTATTGATCCTCGTAGAGGAGGAGGACAAGAACATATGCTTAGCTTCTCTTCTCCTTCAGACAAATCAGATGTCTCACCTTATCTTCAGTACTGTAGAAACTCAGGTCTGAATAAATATTATAATACTCTGTTTTATTTTTTTTGTTTTTTTTGTTTCTTTCTATTCATGTAAAGATATATACTTTCTTGAAAATCAGCAAATGGGTTTTGCTTAGAGTTAGGTTTAAAGAAATGGGTTTTTGTCAAAATTTGAAAATCATCATATTGGGTTTTGGTTAGAGTTTGATTTAGGAAAAATGGGTTAATGTTCATTAACTTGGGATATGGTTGTGTGATGGTGACAGGATATGGTGGTTTAGGTGGTGGGATGATGAACACAAGCAGCATGCATGGAAACTTATTGACAGGAGTAAAAGGACCTTTTTCATTGACTCAATGGGCTGAGCTAGAGCAACAGGCTTTGATCTATAAGTATATCACAGCCAATGTCCCTGTGCCATCTAGCTTACTCCTTTCTCTTAAGAAATCTTTTTTCCCTTATGGATCCTTGCCTCCTAATTCTTGTAAGTTCTCTCTTCCTTCATATTTGATTTCTAAAGATTTAAGGTTATTGATCAATACATTATCCAAGAATCAACTTTATGCTAAGTGTATAGTCATTTGGAAGATTTAATCTTGTATGGATTGGTGGTGGGTTTATTAAAGATTCTTGCTTTTGTTAGGGGAATGTTGTTTGTTGCCCTCTCATTGGTTGTTTTATTAGATCTTGAGAGATTCTTTTGTTTTGTGTGTTTGGGTAGATGGATGGGGCTCTTTTCATCTGGGCTTTTCCGGTGGTAACATGGATCCCGAGCCAGGGAGATGTCGCCGGACAGATGGAAAGAAATGGCGGTGCTCGAGGGATGCTGTCCCTGATCAAAAGTACTGTGAACGACATATTAACCGAGGCCGCCATCGTTCAAGAAAGCCTGTGGAAGGCCAAAATGGCCACAATACTACTGCTGCCGCCGCTTCTACCGCTGCTGCAGTGTCCAAAGCAGCGGGGACTTCGGCTGTTGCGATGCGGGGATCAGATCATAACAATAGCCTTGCTGCTGCTGCTAGAACTCATCGTCATGCCAATAATCAATCTACAGATTCTTTGGCTACCAGGTGAAAACGTTTGAAATCTCTTTTTTATGTTAAATTTTGTTTTGCCTTTTTTGATATAACCTATCTGCATATTCCTAAGTTTTAATGTTCATACCTTTTCCAACTTTTTTATTTTCTTCGTCTTTACCCTATGAGTAAGAAGTAGACCCACCAATTCATTATTACTACATCTTTTATGATTGTGACCATTCCTTATTAATTGAGGCTTAGGATTCCATATATTTGGCTTCACTTTTATGGACTGTTTACTCCTTTTAACAATGATTCAGTGATGCATAAATGAACAAATCTATTGTGAAATCTTAATGGTTGTTATGTTGCAACGCAGGGTTCAAAATTCTCGAGGGGCTTCAGTTTTTCCTGCCACGATGAACTTACAAACGAAGGATCCTCATCCGAAACAAAGCAATAACCCTTTTGAATTTGGAATCATCTCCTCTGACGCATTACTAAATCCGTCGCATAAGCAAGCCTCCTACGGAAACTCCTCGAAAGGCTTTGGATCGTATCTTGACTTCAGCAACCAAGCCAAGCACTCGGGAAATCACCACAATGACGATTCATGGCCCCCCGAAGAGCTGAAATCTGATTGGACTCAGCTCTCAATGTCAATCCCCATGGCTCCATCTTCCCCTGTTCAAGATAAAGTAGCACTCTCGCCTTTGAGGTTATCGCGTGAGTTTGACCCCGCGATCCACATGGGATTAGGCGTCAACACCGAGTTTCTTGAGCCTGGTAAGAAGGCGAATAACTGGATACCGATCTCTTGGGGTAACAATAACTCCATGGGAGGTCCTCTTGGCGAGGTACTAAACAGCACGACGAATAGTCCCAAGTTTGGTTCTTCTCCAACAGGCGTCTTGCAAAAATCGACATTTGGTTCTCTTTCTAACAGCAGCTCGGGAAGCAGCACCATCATTGGCGATAACAGCAACAAGAACGGCAGCGATGGAAAGGATCCGCTTGGCCCAACCACGCTGATGAACACTTCCGCTACTGTTCCCTCTCTGTGAAGCCAAGGACTATGGCGAAAACAAAACACTCTGTTTTTCCCCTGTTTCTGTTTTTTTTTCCCCTTACTTGGTGCATCGTTGTTGTTGTTTTCTTTATATATAAAGTCAGAAGAAACTAAAAGGAAAGATGAGAAGAGTGATGAGTTTTTTTTCTTCTTCTTCTTCTTCTTATTCATAATCTTTGTTCTTTGTTTTTCCTCATAAACCCGTTTCTTCTCAATCTTTCTGATTTCTGAATGTATTTGTTGATTCATTGTTCTTCTTGTAGCCGTTTAGCTCAAAGCCATTAGTTTTATCTTTGTTCACAATGACAAAAATGTTAACTATTAAACATACTAAAAACACATTAGTGATCTGTTTAGCCATTAGGAAAAAACAGAACACTAGTATTGGTTCTACAATGTCTAAAGAATGGTGATCCATAATATGAAGAAGAAGGTTTCCTAGTTGCAGACAAGAGGCAACATTGTTTGAGGATTGGACATAGAACACTTCTTCAAAACAACTGTCTCCAACTTTAGTTTTTTTTTACCTCTGTTTCTCCACTTTTGGGGTCCCTTAACTACTTTATGCTTCTTCTTCTTCAATGTCTCTCTCTCTCTCTCTCTCTCTCTCTCTCTATAGCCCTACCTTTTACTTATTCTTGTTTTTGTTTTTTATAAAAGAGTGGAGGAGAGGACCAAAACCTCAACCTCTCTCTCAATTTATGGATGATGATGGTCCATACGTTTTTGATTTGGATTCTTTTGTGTTATATTTTACAAGATTTTATTCTAACACGTGGCGTGTGTGGGACGATCCAGACACTTCCACTTGCATCAGACACGACAATTCTTACCGAATATATAAAATATCTCAATAGATGCTTTTATCAGTACAGTCATTAGATACTGTAGTTTGTAATTGAGTAAATAACCATTTTTGTTCCTTACATTAACTTTGTGTCTTAATATTTTTTTTTTCAACTAAATTTATATGAAGATACTAATCACTTTCCTATATGGTTAATATATAATTTTGCACCTATTTAAAAAAAATATTTAACTATGTTTTATTTTTGAAAGCCCGGATATCTGGATCTAAATTTTTTTACTGTCTAAAACAGAAAATATTTAGATTTATCGGCACAAATTTACCAAAAAAAAATTTACAAATTGGAGTCGAATTTAGGACGTTGAAGCTCAACAAATAGAGTTTGAAATGAAATGAGTTTGTGCCTTTGTGGGAAGCTTGAAGTCTCTACTTGAGGAATAAGAAGGAATCAAAGATGGTTTTTGAGTGTGTTAAAGACTCTGAGTAACTTAAAGGGTTCAACTCCAACCTTCAAAGCCGAAGACTCAATTGGATTCATTAATGGGGAATATACAACTACTGCAGAAGGTTTTAAATATACAGGGGAAAAGATGATAGTAGGCTTTTCAGATTCAATTGGATTCATTAATGGGCCTTTATAAATATGATAAAATAGGCCCAAACAACTTCTGAGTAGCACTCATTCTCATTTACTTACACACATAAGAGAGAGAGAGATCAAAAGAGAGACGCAAATAAAAAATACTTCGCTTTGATCTGATTTTTTTTTTCTTTCTAAAACTTTTTTTTTTCCAACTTTTTTCAAATCATTTGATGATCAATGAAGGATTCTGCTGAAGCTGTTTGAGAATCAAAATCTGCCTCATCTCCAAGAATCTTCGAGTTAGAATCTCTTGTTCCGACATAAGACGGTCGTTGTCCGTACTTATCAGTCCGAGGTTGTACAAAACGATCCGGAGCCGGTTACCGAGGTCCCGGTTTTCTAAACCGAGCCGGTTTGCTTCGTCTTTTAAATTCTCAATGTGTCTCTGTTTACGCATCCTCGACCGCTTCGCTGATTCTCGGTTCGATTCCATACGCTTCCGTTTACGTTCGTCAGTTACCTGTAAAACCGGTCGGTTCAATTCCGCCCGGTTATGGTCCGTGGCGTTAATCCGGTTTTTCATGTTTTCCGAGTCCAATTCATCGGATTTAGGACTCAGTACGCCGTGGAAAATGTCGGAACCATCGGAACCGGAGTTCATTCGGATGGAACCGATACAAGATTCGTCAAAACCAGTGTCAATTTTGACAGAACCGGTTTCGGATTCACCAGAGCAAGGACTCGGTACGGCCGGTTCGTGATGGATAGAAGAGAAGAAGAGAGCAGAGCAGTCAAATTCCCAAGGAGTGAATCCGGTCTGGAAATCCGATAATTGGTTAACCAAACCCGGTTCAGTAAAGGAAAAGGCCGGTACAGTAGACAACATGATGACCGGGTTCGTAATTGTATAATTAGAGAGAAGAGGAGGAGAAAAGGGAAGAATTGAATTGAAGGAGGCTGGAATTTAAAGAAACATTAGAAGGGTAGTTTGGTCATTTTAGAAAATACCATGTATGACCGTATAAAATACGTAAAAATGACTTTTGAGTCATATAGCACTATGTGGGGTTAATATTTTTTTTTCTTCTCAAACAACTTTTATAAAAAGTAGAAAAAATATTTTTGTGGGACAAGGAATACTATAGGCTATTTGAAAAGAAAATAAGATTAAAAATTTGTTAAACCAAATGTTTTGTAATAGCTTAGTGATGAAGAAACAGTCCATATTTAACACATGCATTGTCCATTCATCTAATTTGTCGCCATGCATTCAAATCTAGATTTAGAACCCAAAAAATATAAAAATTAAAAGTTGAATAAATTTTATAATTTGAGGCTCAAATATATAAAAATATGGTTTCTTTGGTATATGATTATATGTGAAGTTTGGTGTAATTAATTAGTGAATGTGGTTGATAGCATATTAAAAAACTAAACAAGTATTTTAATCAAAATGTTTGTTTGTTTTGTTTTAATTTCTATTCAAAATATTACAACTATTATTTTATGAAATTTACTAAAATCCAGCTTTTTATTTTCTATTTTTTTGAATCAAATTTTTTTTAAAAAAAATATTTTCTACAAAATGTTTGAGTCAGTTGTTTATATGATTTTCTATTAAAAAAACATTTAGGTTTTCAGGGGATTTTTGACAACATATATATATATATATATATATATATATATTAGTGGGTACCTGATTATGTAACTACCAACTTAAAATAACTAATAATTATTTCTTTCTCAATAAGTAATTTTCCCAAATTGACAATGATTCTAAATGGAATCCAAGAACAATAATGGCATGATGACAATGTTTAATTGGAATTTAACAAAACATCATCCATGTTTAACAAAAATTTATTTTAGAACGAAAGAGAATCTTACAATTAACAACAAATTCATGATTTAAATAAGATTTTCGGTTAGTTGGATTATTCGAAATTAGAAAGAATTAAAAAAAAAAAACTGTAGCAACGGCCACATGCAAATCTTCAAAAGTAAAGCAGAAATATATAATTTAGAAAACCTTTTAATATATGGTTTGGTAGCATGTTAAATCAAACTTTAATGGCCAAAAAGATGTATCATTCAAATGCTGCCCACATTAACTTTTTATTTTCAGTAATCACAACTTCTCTTTTTATTACAAAAAAAAAAAAAAAAAAAAGATATCAGTAATAGGTATATATATAAGTATGTGACTCTGTTTTTATGTTATTACATAGTTAAAATTAGATATGATTTATTTTTAATGACAATTAAATTACCATTTTTATTGATACAATAGAAAATAAATCGCAAAATAACAGTCACACAAACTCACAAAGTTCATCGTCTACAAAAAAACTGTGTTTGAGTTGAGATTTAGTCTGCCTTTTCTAGAGTTTTTCAACTCTTGCCAAGGATCATCACTTATATATATGTTAAACCATTTCTTTTATGTTTAACCAAACATTATATTGGACTTAGGATTGTTTGCAAACATGCATGGAACTCGACCACTCCTTCTCTTCTCTTAACACTTATAGACTAGCTATATAATAAGTTTGGTGCATCAATTTGATCAGGAAGCAAAGAGTACATGGCTATGACTTAGAGAACATAGGGAAGTTGTTTACTAAAGTAAATGATATTAGTGAAAAGATGATTTACATTGAAGTATACCAAAGCTAAACAAGTCTCTTGAACTATATGTATGCATATTTATTTGACACGGTTTGGCTATAAAAACGAGTAAGTCACACACCGACTTGAATAACCTCTCCAATACACACGCTTTTGAATTTTGGTGCGTTCCAAACGGATGATAACAACACCATCACCATGTCACACCACTCGGGTGGGGACGTTCGTGTTTACTGCTAGTGCGTAAGATCGTTCTCAACGTTGTCACATATTAACATTTGTTTGTTCCTATTTATTTTTAGGTATTCAACTATCGAAATAATTCACAATTTTTGGTATACAAGCTACAAAATTTAAGCATTTGAACATTCCGCGTAATGTTATTTATAATTATGTTATCATTTAATCGAGGAATTGGAAATGATAGACGCGATGTATTTTAAACGATACTAGTGATGGACCCGCACGTACGTGCGGAGTTATTTTTACAAAATTACGATTTTTTAAGTAGATGTTATTTCGGTAAAATTTTGTTATATGAGTTTATTTGATAAACTATATATAGACATACAGTTGTAAAATATATATATTGTATTACATGATAAAATTTTAAAATTACAATTTTAACATTTTTTAAATGAAAATGATAAGTGATATTACGTGTTTATTTTTTAAACTAATCAAAACATTTCTAACTGTTTGCTTAGAGATGTTCAATCGGATTTGGGTTTGGCTTTAGTTTGAATTGTTTTATGTGTAGTTTAGAATGGAAACCCGTCCTGTTCCTTTCCGTCTCGTCCCGACCCGTCCCGTCCCTTCCCGTCTTCTATCTGTCATAAAATTTCTGTTCCACAATCGTTTCTTTTTAAAACATAATCATTTGCCAATGTTTATTATAAGAAACTTGGCAAAAAATTTAGACGGGATACTCATATTCCTCGTTTAAATATTTATTTTTATCAAACTAATAAAAATCTAATTATCAATCTAAGTCACATGCTCCCACCATTTTCATTCACAATGCACTGTCTGTAATCCTAGCATAGACAATCCTTGTTCGATTTTTAATTTTATTGATCTTTCAGTTTTCATCTTTATTTCTCGTTACTTTCTTCAATTCAAAGATTCACGTTTTAGCCTTTTTGTTTTCTAAAGATTTAGGTATTTCTATTTTTTTAATACATGGATTTATCGTAGTTTTGTTATCCGAAGTATACATTATCTTCTTGTACCTGTCATTTCATGTCTAAATATTTGAAATAAATAGGAAAGTGGAAATTAAATTTAGCAATCTAAATTACATGTCCTCGTATCGTACTCGTAGTTTTATATTTGAAATTTAACTTTATTACCGTGTCTCATAACAATTATATCTAATCATGTTTTTTTTTTATGTGAAATAATTCAGATAATGTTTGTTTCGAATTATAT